ACAGGCTGTTGTGATGAATGAGTGTCCATGGCCGGTGCCTCAGCACCATCCCGCCACAAGTGTCTAATTCTTCTTTCATTTAGTATTTAAGTGGCCTACTATGCGCCAGGCACTGTGGCACATGCCACGGAGGGGCCACCAAGGAGGGAGACCTGCTATCTATATGGAGTCATGGTCTAATGTGGGAGACAAATGATAAATATACCTGCTATATAAATACATATGTGATGCATATATATTGTATATGTACAGGCACTATTCATCAGGCAGTGGTAAATACGAAGAAAAATACAAGGGAATAGAAAGTGGAGGGGAAGGTTTTAGATAGGTCCCAGGGGTGACATTTGAGTGAATGAGGGGAACCATACAAAGATCTGAGGGGGCTAAGACTGATCATCCAGGCGATCTGAGGTTCAAGTGAACCTAAAGTGATAGAGGGTTAGGAGACCTGGGTGCCTGAGAAGGGAGATGAGGTCAGACGTTGAGGGAGAGGAAGTTGGCATAGGCCTTTAACGCCAGCTTTTACTGAAAATGGGGAGACATTGGAGGGTTGAGCAGGACAGTGGCACGATCTTCTGGTTTCAAGGGCACCTCGGCTGCATATAGTTCACAGGGAGCAATGGTGGATGTGAGACCAGTAATCAAAGCTTGGATGATGGTGGCTTGGATCTGGAAGGTGGTAGCAATGGAGGTGGTTAAAAAGGGTATCAGATATACCTGAAGGATTTGCTGAGGGTTACACACAGGAAATATGAGCAAAATGTCAAGGATAACTGAGATTTTTGGCCTGAGCAACTAGACTTGCCAATACCAGGAGTAGAAATGGTTGTAGGCAGTGCAGACTTGGTGGAGAAGGGATCACTCAGTTCAGTTTTGGACAAGTTAAATGTATGAAGGGAAACAAGACTAGAGATGTAGGCTACAGCCGGAGCTTCCAGTGTGCTAAGAAATTGATGTGAGAAAGGTCAGTTGGCTTGCAGTTGGTAATGTTCAAGACCATTAAGACTTTTGATTATGGAATTCTGTACTATTTATGCTCTATACCATTTATTGCTGAGTATATTACTCCCAAAATGGAGTGACTTTGAAACATTCAACCTCATTTTCTATAGGTCAGGAATCCAGGCACAGCTTAGCTGGGTCCCAATTCAAGGCCTCTCACAGGCATCATGGTGTCAGCAGGGTTTCCAGTCACCAAAAACCAGGCAAGGATCTGCCTCTGAATTTAGTTGGCAGGATTCAGTTCCCTGCAACTGGCTGGAGATCACTCTCAATTCCTTGGTACTTGGACTGCAACTTAGTAGCTTGTTTCATCAAAGTGAGCAAGCCAAGGAATGAGACAGGGAAGAGAAACAGCAACTGAATGTATACAAGTCATGTTTTTTATAACCTAGTATCGGAAGGGATATATCCCCTTGTGCTAGTTTTCTATTCATTGAGAGCACTAGGTCCTCACAAGAGGAGGGGACCGAGTCAATACCGGGAATTCTACAAGCACAATGTTAGGGGAAAAAACAAAAATGGAATCCTTTTCCAGATTACTCAATTATCTGGGGACAGAGGGAAATTAGTGAAACCAGACTGGTCCCATTATTAGACCAATCTGTTTAGAAGCTTCCATGGTTAGAGTTAAAAATGTAAGTTAGATGTAGCCCAATCACACTTATCTCATTCATGCCTGTAAAAGCACAAAACCCGGCTCAGAAAGGACAAGTGGACAAGTGTGGGATGCACCCACCAACAATTATTTGGTTGTTACATATTGTCCCTGTTCAAGGCTGAGTATTCAATGACCATATACAACATTTTAATTTAAAGGATTTTATTGTCTTTCTCCAGATAGAAAGGCTCTAAGTTAGAAAACTTCACCAAGTTTAATAATATAATAATCCTCGATTCTTCAAAGCAGACACCATCTTTTCAGCTCCGGACACGTGGGTTACACAACCTTGCTGGACTGATTCACCAGAACTATCACGCTTTCTCAGGAAAGCAGAGACAATCTTTTTCAAGAGATCTTGTGTTCCAACGCCATAAACTGAAATACTCAAAAAGAAAAAAAGTACATCACAACCAGTACTAAGACTTCTGTAACAAGGTGGATGTACAGTCAAGCCCCAGACCAATCTCTTTCAAGTCTTCTTATCTCGAGTCTGGCACCTCACTCAAGTCTATTTGTCCCTGATGTCAAAACGCTCAACCTCAACCTATAATCTTCCTAGGCACAGGAACTAGAAATAAAAGGAGGGAAAAACCAGGACTACACAGGGTACCAAAGGGGCTTAACACACTTGAAACGCATACAAAGATACTCTAGGGACAAATGGGGTCATCTGAGTATACTGATTAGCAGATATTAGGGAACTATTTATTTCTTGGCTATTAATGATCAGGTATATAGGAAGATAGTCTTACTTCTGAATTTAGAGGAATTCAAATGAACAGTCTAGGGATTAAGGGTCATAAAAGCAACAACTTTCAAATGGCAAAAATCTACGCACTTATGTAAACAAAAGCAAATATTTTAAATTTAGGGTGTTGAGCTTGTACATGTTTCAGATTTTTCATAAAGCAGGGACTTGATCACCAAGAGACACGTCTACTGTAGTCAACACACTCAAGAGGAGGGAAGCTATCATTGATGTTGCTCCCTTTCCACTGTAAGGCTCCTAAGCACACCAGGGGATCAATCGGGCAAACGCAGCCAGTTAAGAAGGCACAATTTAAGGGCTGTATAGGCCAGCTTAAAGGCCTACAACCAAGGCCCGATTCAGACAGGTCTAGCTTAAGTTTTCCTTAATCAGTACAGCTGATATTCAAGGGAGTCACGTTCCAATCATGGAAAGACACATATACCCAGCGTTTAAAAAAGACTCAGGTGTGGCCTGCCTGTCTCTTCGGCTTGCTATGATGGAGCACGACACCATGTTGAAGAGGCCCATGGAGCAAGAACTGAGGTTGGCCTTCAGCCAACAGCATGAGGAACTTAATTATTCCAAAAAAATTTTATAATTTGAATCCCAACTCAAATGTGATTTGGAGCTCCTCTATTCTTGTACTATCTGCCAAGTTAATTCTAACTTTACTTTTTCCTTTCTTAGGGAAAGACATAATACTACTAACAGGTCAACAGTCCTGCCAAGGATGCAATTTTGCCCTCTTATTTTTTAATTGACGTATACTCAGTTTAGTATGTTGTGTCAATTTCTTCCCCCTCCTGTTTTATACACAGCTTGGAACTGGGTCCCGAGGTTACTCTCAAGTGGGCAACAACTCTCTACCATGAGCACATTAAACATAGTCATCTTACTAGGGAGTTAACACTTGGGTAACAATTTGCAGAATCCTCACCTGTTACAAGACAGAACCAAGCCGAGGGTTCTATCAGGCTGCAATCAACCTACTCACTGCTCTGGGGCACACAGGGCTCCAGACCTGTAGGAAGTCAACAGATGAAGCCAAGATAAATGACCTGAACGATGGAAGAAGTAAAAAGCCTATACAGCAATCCCAATTTCCACTAAAAAGTTCACGTGCAGTCGACAGTCTGGTGGTGGTAAGCAGAAAACATAAACGTTTTCTTTGTGGCCAATGCATCAGACAAAACTGGCTAATAGTTCAGTTAGATCAACAGGGTCGATCTGATGGGGAAAAAAGTTATGTCATCAGCTACAATGGCCATGTTTGAGTTAGAAATTGGAATGCAAAAGGGATAGCCCCTTTAAAAGCAGTTAATTCCTCCTCCCATCTACAGGTCCTGTATCTATTCAGCCATGTGGGCACACTGAGACATATGGACATCACTTACCAATTCTTTACCAATCCTGTATTCATCCTGGTCCATTCAAAGTCTGCTTTCTGCCAGCAATTAACCTGATATAAAAACTGACACAGGAGTTCCAATTAGCTAGATGCCCAAGGGAGTAGGGGACAAAGGTGCTGCTCACGCTGGCATATCAGACAGAAACTGGCTTAGAGAAATTAGATCAACATGGTCGATCAGTCGGGGAAAAAAGTTCAGTCATCATATATGCCAGTAGGAAGCTCTTGGTTTCTAGAAAGACCTGAGTCAGGAATAAGATTTGATTGGTCTGTTTCTCGGCAAATTTTATGCAGTATTTGAACACTTCTGCGTCCTGCTGCAGGCAGTAAAAATTTAGCTAAGACCTACACCCCTGCCTTCTGAATTCACATTTCGTAGAGGCCAGTGTTGCTGACAAGAACCGCGGAGAAATGGCTAGCTTTTACTGAGAGGTGATTGCAAGGTTTTGACCAAGCGCCATGATTTTGCATTTTAAAGCAAGATGTCATTATTAAAAAACCTGACTTCAAAGACTCTGGGACAGTAAGATTAAAGAAAAACTGTCCAAAAACGCCCACTGAGGTGGCATTCCTGGACTCAAGTGAATTTAAACGTTAGGGGGTAGGGGATTAGTTTCAACAGAAACACATTTGGCTTTCCTCAAGAAAATAGTACATAATCCATTCCCTTGGAAACAAAAGTACAAAAGAAAGCTGTTTATCAAGAACAAATAAAGCGAAGGCATCCAACACGGTGCCTTCATGAGCATTGTCAGGACACTAAAAATTTAACACCTGTGCACTGTCAAAACATTTTTCCGCTTTAGAACAAACCCAATGTTTTTGAGAATTATAAAAATCTATCTAGAACACCTCAAAGAAGACCTAATAACTAAAATACACTAATGAGTTGTCCTTAATCTTCCTTTCTTTTTCCCCGCCAAGGTCGCCTGGCAAACGAAGAATTCCCTCAGCGTACGCTTTTCCTACAACAGGCCAAAAGACAGAGGCTTACCGCAGAGGTAGGAGACTGAAGGTTGCGGACGGCTACACGTGGCTCCCCGGAAGGCCCGGCAGCGGCCCACTCCTCCAAGATCCATTCTGTCGGCTCTGACCGTGCAAACCTGCGAACTAACAAAGAAAGGTCGTCAATCGCCATCTTTCAGAGTCGAGAAAAGAATATGGCAGGGCCTTTTGAGGCTGGTGTATCAGAACTAACTGGCAAGTAATTAAAGACATCAACATTGTCGATCTGACGGGGAAAAAAGTCAAGTCATCATTTATACCAGCCAAGGACTCCTTAGGCCCGAACAGAAGGCGTGGGTTTTTCCAGCTCTAGCTAAGCCCCTCCACGGCCCTAAGGCCTACTTAGTAGGGTCAGAGCAGGGGGTAGCCACCGGCTACGGCGATGGCGCAAAGACAAAAAAAGAGGTAGAGATCTCGACGAGCAGTCTCCACTCACCACACACGGTAGTAAACCGAGGTTCCTGGCACGGAACGTCACCGGATGAAGCGCGGATAAAACAGGGTAAAGACACCAAAGAGCCGCAAACGCGAAAGGACTACGGGCGCTGGAGCGTCCCTTATATAGTCCGAGGCGCCTCTCACGCCTGCGCACTGCACCCAAGGCACTTCCTTTTCCCCTCCCACGCCGGGAGAGGCCCTATGGGCAATGTAGTCCCCGCGCCGCCCAGCCGGAGCGGGCCTAATGGTTGTCCAGGCAGCTCTATCCCCGCCCCTTCCCTGTACACACGAGGCCAGCCGGGCTTCTTGGCCTCGCCGCCATGTCGCGCTTCACACGCATCCAGCCGTCCGCCTGGTCCCCCCTCTTTCGGGGACAGCTGAGGCCTGCGACGGCCCTGGGTGCTGTTAACCCGTCCCCCGCAGTCCCCTCCCCTCAGCAGCGCCCGCTGGAGCCCGCCGGCGAAGCCGCCGGCGGGGAGCTGAGGCGACGCCCGCGCTTCCGCCGCCCCTGGCGGGTCTGAGAGCTGGGGCGCCGGCTGTGCCCGGGCCCGGCCCCCTCCGCCTTCTTCTCCTCCTCCTTGTCCTCCTCCTCCTCCTGGCCGGCCCCTCGCCCCGCCCAGTGTCTGCGGGGAAGGGAAACCGAAAGTGCGCGGCGCCGGGCGGGGCAGCCGACCTGCCTGGGCCCGAGTCCCAGCACCAGTCTGAGGCGGCGGTGGCGGCGAGAGGACACATTGGAACCCGGTGAGCGACCCCTGCCCCGCGCCCCAGCCCGGCACCTGCTCCCGCCGGCCGCGACCCCACGTGCTGGCGCCGCTCCCCGCTGCTTCTGCCGCCACTTCTGCCCCGACGCCCGCTTCAGCGCACCCGCCACCTCCTCAGCCCCTCGCGTCCCCACTCACCCGCCTCAGCACCCGTCACCCCCCAGAGCCCCCCATCACTTCCCAGCGCCCCCAGCATCCACCTCTACTGTCCCCTCTCCTCAGTGCCCCTCTTAGCCCCTCCAGCGCCACATCACCTCCTCAGAGCCCAGCGCCTCCGTCACTCGTCTCTGCCCCACCTTGGCACCCCGGTTCCTCCCGCAGCGCCCCCTTCACCTCCTCTGCCCCCAGCGCCTCCATCACTACCTCCGCCTCCAGCCCCATCATCTAGTTCTCCTCTGTCCCCCGTCTTCACCCTCACTTTCTGCCAAACCCCTCTTCATCATCTTCCATCCTTACCGCCCATCACATCATTCATCCCCCATCTTCTAGAAGCACCCTCCGCACCTAGACTCCCCATTCCTGTATCCCCATCCCCATCACTTCAGCAAGCACCTCCCAGCTGAGCTCAGCCCCACCCTCTTCTTGAGGCCCCCAAACCCCTTCCCCTCTCCCCCATCTCCCTGCTGCTCCCCGCGTCAGCCTTGCCATGGCACCTTCATGTCCTCACACAACCCTGGCTCTCCCTTGACCCTACAATATCTCCATAAGGACCTGCTGGGCTCCCCGGTGCAAGAGACTCATCCATCCTTTCTTGTACTCTCTCAGGACCCTGGAGACTTCCCCTTGAAACTCAGCTCTAACCTCTTTGATCCCACAATGGTAATTACCATTCTTCTCTAATTTAACTCCTATACCAGCTTGACTATCACTGATATTCTTCCTGCCCTTTTAGGCCTTGATTCCCAAAGAAACCCACCCTAGTCTGCTTTTTCGTAGCATTTCCTGTTTTTCTCTGCTCCTCCCTTTCTGTGCTTTTCTTTTTTCTTTTCTTCTGTTTCTTTTAGCCCAGAAAATTTGTGAGTTTCTATTTGAGTATTTTCAACAAGAGGAAGTAGAGATTTTCCCTTCAGATAATTTTTTTAATTAAAAAAAAACTCTAAATATTGAACTTGTGCCATAAGAGCTGGGTTTGATAAGATGAGGGTTGAGATTCACCAGAAATATTCCCAGCTGGAAGGAAAGGGACTCCTTTTTCTGATGAGGATAAAAGCTATTCTTCATATAATGCCAAATCTATTCACAGTTTTCAACTATGAATATTTTAAAACTCAGTGAAAGGGACAGTTGAATAAGTCTCTTTGCTGAGGACCCTCTGTCACCCACTCTTTCCCTAGCCCCAACCAACATGATGTGTATGAGTTGGATTGAGAAGTTCCCTTAAAAGGGGCTTCCTCTTCCTCTTATGGCACTACTGTCAAAAACCATCAAGGTAGAAGAAAGAGGAGAAGAAAAGGACTGCAGATTCTAGCTGGTCCTGAGGAAACAACATCCCATAGATGCTAAGCCTCCTGGTAATTGAAATATGTTATTTCTTTCTCTTGATTCAGTAGAGTGGAGGGCTTAATCAGTTTGTCTGTGTTCCAAAGAATAGGATAAGGGATAACTCTTAAGTGTTTACAAACTATAGAGTCCTATAAGCTATAGAGAGTACTATATGATGTAAGTGCCGGGTGGGTTGGTGAACACATGGATTTTGGATTAATGAAAATGTAGTTCTTAGTATCCTGGCAACAATATTTGTTTACTTAATAGAAGAGGAAAATGAAACCTAGCAACTGATTAAGTAACTTGGCTAAAGGCATAAACCAAACATGAATTGTAAATGGGAATTGTTGACACTCCCTCAACCCCAAGAAAATACAAGGATAAAGAGAAGGGGAAATTTGATTCTTTGAAATTTGATCCTAAATTGTGAATTTAGTATTTTATATCATAATTGGGTGTTCACAGAGTTGAACACTTGTGCACAAGATTAAAATCTGTGTTTAACTCTTACTTAACAAATCATTAAGATACAGAGGCAGAAGGATTAGCTTGATGCTTTTTGGAGTTTTTTCTGCTAGATGCTGTGTTTCAAGGGCACTAATAACTCTCACCTTGTGCAGATTTCCAGGTAACTGAAAGTAACATAAACCTGGAGGAAATCGGGTAACTCAGACATGGAGGACAGAAGACCTTGTCCAGAGGCCAGGCCCAGAAATCTTCATGCTAACCACAGAGGTGAGCAAGATTTTCTACCCTAGATGGTCCCAAACTGATGATAGTTACATTTACGATTTTTTTACTTTACACGACGGACCTAAAGTGATATGCATTGAGTAGAAACCATACTTCAGATTTTGAATTTTGATCTTTTCCTAGGCTAGATATGTGTGTGGTAAGATACTCTCTCGTGATGCTGAGCAGTGGCAGCGAGCTGCAGCTCCTAGTCAGCTGCGCTATCCCAAGGGTAAACAGCTGTTACACTTATAACCATCCTACACCCAGACAACCATACCGTTCTTCACTTTCAGTGTAGTGTTAGATAAATTACATATTCAACACTTGGTTATAGAATAGGCTTGTATTAGATGATTTTGCCCAACTCTAGGTGAATGTAGGTGTTCTGAGTACATTTAAGGTAGGCTAGGCTAAGCTGTGATGGTTGGTAGATCAGGTGTATAACTGCTTTTTCAGCTTACAATGTTTTCAGCTTACAGTGGGTTTATTGGGAAGTAACCCCATTGTAAATCAAAGAAGATCTGTAATGGGAAGGAAATTCCCTATGAATAAGCAGGCCCACCGAAATTGACTGCACCTTTCAGGTAAAGAATGGTTTATTCCCTTGCTACAGCATGAATGACTCTGAAACCAGACAGCCCTCCCCTTTCCTTAAGAGAGCTGATAAATGGGTACAGTTCACTTTAGCAAAGGTAGTCATGATGTGTCAAAAATGGATATAACTCTGGTTTGGAGCAATATTATCCAATAGAAACATAATGCAAGCCAAAAATAAAATTTTTGATTTTCTACTGGCATCATTTTGAAAATCAAAAAGAAACAGGTGACATCCATTTAAAAAACTTAATACTAATTTAATAAAAGTTGGAGTTTGTCTTATTTAAGCCAGTATATCCCAATAATATCATTTTATATTATAATTGAATATATTTTATTATTATAGTACTTTTTTTGGAGTTTTTTTCTTCCAGTTTTGTTGAGATATAATTGACATACTAACACCATATAAGTTTAAGGTGTACAGAGTAATGATTTAACTTACATCTATCATGAAATGATTACCAAAACAAGTTTTTTTGTATATATATTTTTATTGTAGTCAATTTACAGTGTTGTGTTTATTTCTGCTGTACAGCATAATGCTTCAGCCATACATGAACATACATATATTTGTTTTCATATTTTTTCACCATAAGTTACTGCAAGATACTGAATATAGTTCCTTATGCTATATAGTATAAACTTGTTATCTGTTTTATATATATATTAGTTACTATCTGCAGATCTCAAACTCCCAGTTTATCCCTTCCCACCCTCTTCCCCTTTTAGTAACCATAAGTTTGTTTTCTATGTCTGTGAGTCTGTTTCTGTTTTGTAAATAAGTTCCTTTTTTTTTTTTAGATTCCACATTTAAGTGATATCATATGGTATTTTTCTTTCTTTTCTGGCTTACATCACTTAGAATGACAATCTCCAGGTCCATCCATGTTGTTGCAAAAGGAATTATTTTATTATTTTTTATTTTTTATGGCTGAATCAAAATAAGTTTAGTAAACATCCATCATCTCATATACATACAAAATTAAATAGAAACAACAAATTTTTCCTTGTGATGACAATTTTTAGGATTTACTGTATTAATAACTTTCATATGTAACATAGCAGTATTAATTATATTTATCATGTTGTATATTACATCCCTAGTACTTATTTACCTTATAACTGAAAGTTGTACCTTTTGACTTCCTTCATCCAATTCTCCTTCTCCCCACCCCTTGCCTCTGGAAACCAGAAATCTGATCTTTTTCTATGAGTTTATTTGTTTTTGAAGTATAATTGACCTAC